ATGCGTATACTGATGTACGTCCGATAAACGCATTGCAAGGTATGAAGTGAGGCACTATACCCTGACTCCACGATTCCACTCCCTTCCGGTCGTAAAAGGACATCATTAATTTCCAGAGAAGACTATCGCTACAACGCGTGAAATCCTCTAATACACATCGAGGTACGAGCACATCTCTGTCGCCGTTCATATCGCGCTCTCGACCAATGCTGAATTTCTTTTCTTCGGTCCGCTTGTTTCCGTCCACTTGGCCTTCGTATCTCCCGCTCGCCTGAAGCTAAAGGAAGCAAGGTAAACTCCTCCCTCGAAGGGGGCTGGGCTCAATTCAGTTAAAGGTGCCAGAATGAAGGCCGACGGACCGCGCTTGGATGGCGCAGCCACCTCAGCAGGGACGGAGGAGGGTAGGGCAGGGCGGGTGCTTCATTTGTGCAAGTATTTGTGCCGAAGGAGGGTGGTGGGCGGGCTAAAATAATAATCCATGTAGAGCCTAGCCTAGTCTTATTTGTGCGACTTTCCAATTATTTTAAGGCTATGGCGGTTTATGCGCGCGTGCACTGCTGCGCCGCGGTCTTTTTATCCGGCGCAATTGTTGTTCGTGTTGCAACGCCCCTGTCTGCCGCTTATCATTGATACGTGTTCACCTTGAGCTGAACACGCACACCAGCCGCTTCGCGCAGGACACTCATGACCGTGGCCACCAGACGCATGCCGGTCCTGGGGCTTAGCGTAAAAGGGCACTAAAAAAAAAAAGCCCAGTACGCCGGGCGCGGAATCACCACTCGTGCCCGAGGATATCGTGGCGTCCGCAAGAAGCCAGTTGCCCAGGGGTTCGCAACAGCACGACTAGCCTGATCTTTTCTTACAACGCAAGTGTGTGTGTGTGTGTTGACGTCCCAATGCCCCTCCGTGGTGCTGGTTAATCAACGCCGAATTCTTTTGTTGCGAAGAAAAGTTGAAATGGCTAGACGACTTATTCTGAATTGCCGCTTGGGGAATAGATCCACCAGAATATATTTTGTTTGTACCAGCGCCCCCGAATGTGGTGAGGTTACCGTGACCATGTTTGCCGTCAAGCGTTTTGCTCTTTTTCTTCCTTTTCGTGGTTATTTTCTTCTCGAGGTGCTGGTACTTATAAGTTTGCTGCATTTTGTTGTTTCCCATCACTCCCATGATGGGGGGCAGACTGCTAAGATCCATCTCAGCATCATCAATGTTTGCATCACTAGCTGAGTATTTTGCGTGGCCAATTGCGCGAGTCAAGGATCCCTGAGGCATGATCTTGGCGCCTTTCTTGGTGTTCGAGGTAGCCAAGTTGCTCGTGTAGGGCGCATTGCCACCTATCGTTGGGAGTCCCTTGCCTTGCGTGCTTGGACCAGATTCCTCCTTCTCTGGGCTGTCGTTCGAAGCTTGAGGGGCAGCTGGATGTACAAACTGTCTCCTAGTATCCAAGTCCCTCAGTTCAACAAAATATGTGTGACGCAAGGCCTCGCGAGCGGATATCCTCTCGGAGGCGTCATATAGGAGCATCTTTATTAGTAAGTCCAAGCATTGGGTAGAAGTGTGCTTGATCAACTGGGCAATGCCAATTCCTGTTTGAGGTGGGAAATCAAAATTTACATGTGCCGCCCCATTTTGTTTAAACTTGGTCAGAAGGGAGGCGGTGGGCGTTCCAAGAACTTTATGTATTCTGTTTATCTGATCAAGCTCGTTAGTGCCGGGGAAAAGAGGGTACAATGACGTGATCTCGAAGAACACACATCCAGCGCCCCAAAGGTCCATCTCCGGACCGTAGTAACCATCTGTGAGGAGGCATTCGGGAGCACGATACCAGCGAGTGGAAATATATTCTGTATATGGTTGTTTCGAATAGATGCCTCGACAAGACCCGAAGTCAGCGAGCTTCAGACCACGACCAAGGTCGCTTTTATTCTCAATGAGAATGTTCTCTGGCTTTATATCTCGATGAAATATGCCCTTGCGGTGCATATGATCGAGGGCTCGAAGTAGTTGATACATGTAGGACTGGATCAACTGGGCGTGCAAATAGTGACGTCGCCCACGAATCAATTCATAGAGATTTGCATCCATGAGTTCAAAAACAAGCGCTAGACGGCCCGTGGGCTGGTCATACAATACTTCCTCGAGTGTGATGATATGCGCGTGGGGAGATAAGCGCCGCAACGCTTGGATTTCCCGCAGGTTATTTACCTGTGAAGACAATGAACCCTGGCGTCTAAAAGAAGCTCGCCTGGTCAATAGAATCAAAATGGTTTTTCATGCATTTGATAGCATGGTACTTGCCATCCTTGACATTTTGGGCTTTCAAAACCTAGCCAAAGTGCAGCTGCACGCACATGCGGAACGAACTCCCGAACAAACCTCGCTGAATGTGCCTTCACCCTTCTTCGCCACGAGTCTATACCTATAACCTTTGCGTAGCCAGCTTGGTCTTGTTATGGCAAGACGCAGATCGGCGCTTGCGCATTCCGCTAGATACTCTCTTATCCGCGAGTAAGCGAACGACCGACACAGTCGATCACACCCGTGCCGTGATATGCGTTGCAGAAAACATGCCTCTCTCGCTGGATATGCATCCCCAAAGATATGCCCATAAAGAATTGCATTTACGGCAGTACAATATGTTTCCGGTAACGAGTTAGTGAGTTTAGACCACCTTCCAACATCCAGCCAAATAAAGCTGCTGGTTGTGGCGGTCCTCTCCCAGCTCGCCGCTTCCTCGGGGCCCGGGGTGGCGCGGCTTATATATTCTTTGAGAGCACATGGTAGAGAGTTTTCTCTGGTTAGAGGAATATGAGAGTATCCCTAGTTGGGCCCCTCCTCTCTCCCCTTGTACTTTATTTTTCCACAGCTTATGCTAAGGGGAATTACGGGGCTGCACCTGAAAAGTGAATTCCTCGTGGTCAGTGTAGCGAACTTGAAAAAGGGGTCTATCTCAGGCTAGTCATGGTGTTCCTGGATCAGCGCTTCGGCCCTCACTGCCATTCCACGTTTGTAGACAAGTCCAGCAAAACAATCGGCTGTTGTAAGTCGACGTAGGTTGATGACAGTCAAGTATTTAAGGTCTATGTCAAATGCTCGTGCAGAAAGGCCGCCCCTAGTCCCCTAGGCGCTACCTTGGGTTTCTTCAAAGTTTGTGTTTGGATCCAGGCCAGTGTATCCACCTACGACCCATGATTGCCATCTACGAATACAGCAGGTCCGCAGCTTAAGCTCTGTGGCCGTGCGCCCGCGAATGGGGGTGGTGGTGGTGGGGGTGAGCCTGGCACGGCGCATGGGAGCTGCCCCGTGTTTGATGTGAAGTAAAGTTGCGCGCTTTGTTTTGGGCATGCTAACATTCTTCATATTTCAGCTCAATCCGCATGTTATCAGCCCCGAAATGTGCAAGAGCATACCATGTGAAGCAGATCGCTGACACGCTCCTCCTGCTTCAGTATACGAGCCTTAACTGAGCTTGTACTTTTCTGTTCGTCGGAAATTTTCTCTTTGAGCTCCTTCAATTTGAGCTTGAGAGGCTGCGTAATCTGATCCGTGAGATGTATCTCCTGTTCAAGCTCGACAGCATGGACTTTGTAGTCCTGCTCCCATTTGTCTAGTTCCTTGTTCATGGTTGAAAGATCTTCATGGACGTAGTCCATGCATTTCCCTAGTGGATTTGTGGACTGACAAAGCACTTGAACGGTGTGCTGGAGTTCTTGGAGGTCTGCCTCACTGAGTTTATCCTTGTTGCCAGCAACTGCACGGTCAATTCGACCAAAGCGAATGCCGCCAGAACCATCGTCCTTCTCTTCGTCAGCTTTCTTTGCATTTGCTCGTTCTTCTTCTTGGATCTCACGGACAAGCTTAGATTTACCATTGGCCGTGAGGAGTTCATCGAGGGGCGGGGGCGCATTGGCATCAGGTGCAAGTCCAAACAGATCTTCATCCATATCATCTTCCTCATCGCCATCGACCATGATTGTAGTCTTCGTGTCCATTGCTTCGATGTTACTTTTGGCATCCTTGGCCTCCGCCTCTAGTCCCTTCTCTTTGTACTTTGGCGGACGGCGCCGTGCCGTGGTTGGGCGCGTAGAACGCTTGGACTGGGCAGCACTCGGATCTTCCTCACTAGCAAGCTGAGCGACGGAGTCGTCTGGCCTGGGAAAGGGTGTTTCCTTGACTTGGGTGCCACCCATGTTAATCTCCTCCTCTCGCGCAGCTGCAGGCTCAGTATCACGCTGACGAGGAGACGGGTTCGCCTCTTGTTTATGGTAGTCGTGAAGGTGCTCTTTGGCGTCGTTCTTATTCACCGCGGCAAGTCCGATCCCTCCGAACTCCTCCGCAGCGAGAACGGCCTGAACAGCACGCTCGCTGTTGGGTGCTGAGCTCGCAGCAACTGCCAAGAGCTGCAATAGACGATTCGTGTTGTTTGGCTCAAGTCCACTGACAATTTTGGCAGGCCTGGCCTCGACAATTGTATTCAATTGCATTCCAACCAATTTGATCATCTTGGCGAGGTATTCGACCTTTGCTGTTTTGTCTGTGACTTGTGCACTATCGGATTCAACTTCATTGTAAAGACCAGAAGCAAAGGACGTGCGTTGGATGACCTCAGATATTACATCATGAAGAAATCGAAATGGCGGTTTGCTCAAGAGCTTATCTAGGAGTTTTGGGCGATTGATGATGGGCTCGAGCAGAGCACGAGTTTTGGCTGGCGTTCCATCGCACGCTTCTATTTGTTCGTCGAGTCCAGATGGGCCCATTCCCATCCCTCCCTGGCGAGACGGGGGTTCCGTGTCCTTGGAGTCAACTGCGCCACCTCTCGCTCCGGCACGAGATGCGGGCGGCACATCATTTAATGATCGTTCATTTTTAAGCTCTGCTGCCGCGGAGTCCACCTCCTTGGACTCGGACTTGGCTTCCTCTTTCGATCGAGGGATTCCCGACATCGATGCTTCAGCACCTTCTAGTGTCAGTCGCACAGCTTCACCGAAGTCCAGAGAAACATCTGAGGCGCATCGTGCAAGCCCCTGTAAAAATAAGTTTGTCTTCTCTGGTTCCAAGCCTGCAACCACCTGTGCAACAGCAGTTACAGTAGAACCGAACGCAGAGGCGTTGCAAACACGGCAGTATACTTTAGCACCGCGAACATCGAGTTCCTCGCCAAGGCAGATGCTGACACAGTCCATAATTTTTTTCAGGTAAACTAGTTTTGCATCTTTATCTTTAATGGCCCCAGAGTCAAGTTCGGTGCTCTGGTAAAGACCGTCGGCAAACCCCGTCTTCTTGGTCACCGCAGTAACCTGTGAGCGCCAATGATGCCCGGATTACAGCATATGGACTCTGCAACACGCGATGTCGTGTAGAAAACGAAATGGGGGCTTGGCAAGTAGCTACGCGCGCGTCAATTACGTCCACAAAATACAAATGCATACCTTATCTTTCAGTTGGGGGCGGTCTATGAGCGGCTGTAGGATTCGTTGCGTCTTTGAAATCTCATCTTCGAGCATCGCGGCCGGTGCACGCCAATTTTCAAATGTACGTCGTGTACTGTCTCAGGGTTTTCCTATGTGTATTGTCTAGTCATCATTCAGATGTGGCTTGGTTGAATAAAAAACCCGGATTTGTGGTGCTGTTGAACTTCTTGAGTTATTGGCTCTGCGCGCAAGACGANC